GAGTAGAGCCGCTGCTCCTCCACGTCGAGAGGAGCCTGTGGCTCAGGCATCTGGTAAGGATGCCTCCTGGACACCTCCCTGGTGAGGTGTTCCGGGCACGTCCCACCGGGAGGAGGCCCTGAGGAAGACCCAGGATACGCTGGAGGGACTATGTCTCTCGGCTGGCCTGGGAACGCCTTGGAGTTCCCCCAGAGGAGCTGGAAGAAGTGGCTGGGGAGAGGGGGGTCTGGGCCTCCCATCTGAAGCTGCTGCTCCCGCGACCTGACCCCGGATAGGCGGAAGAAAATGGATGGATGGATGGATGGATGGATGGATGGATGGATGGATGGATGGATGGATGGATGGATAAAATTAATGCAGACATGGTTGACCTTGATGTGCGGAAACCATGTTGGCTATTGCTTAGCATATTATTAGCTTCTAGATGCTGAAGTAGTTGATTAAATCATGTTTTTTCAAGTAACTTGGAAAAAATAGGAAGAACAGAAATTGGCCAATAGTTTGAAACTTCTGTTGGATCACCAGATTTAAAAATGGGAGTAACCTGAGCAAACTTCCAGGCATAAAATAAAAAGTTTGGATTGAATGATCTGAGCTAATGAAAAGCTTCAAAACACTGAGAACCAACAAAGCCCAACATGAACGTTGATGTTCGAGGTCTCAAACATCTTCAGCCCTGTGACAGTTGTGTTTTGATTAGAGATGTCCCGATACAATCAGATTTTTTTAACGATTAGTCTTTCCGATACCGATCCGATAGCTTTATTTTTTTATTTCTTTCCAAATGACAAGGTCGGTAGTATTAAAGTGAGCCCTGCTGTTCCCACCATGAGAAACATCCAGTTTGCAGATTTTGCAAGATGCAGTTTCAGCATCATTGTTTTCCATTGAAAAGTGTTCCCACACTGTGGACATGGTTGTATACTTTTATACATGTTTCACACTGAGATCCAAACCACTCCAGAACCTGCTGGAGGTCCCTGTTTGTTGAGGCTACCACATTGTCTACATACAACAACAATGGAGTCTGATGCCTCCTACGGTGGAGACCTTCTCCACCTTGGCTGTGCCTAAGAAATCTACCCTTAAAATGCAATAACAGAGTCAATGACAAAGGGCAACCTTGGCCAGGTCCAAAACTCACCAYGAACAAGTCTGACTTATGGGGAATGCTTCCCCTTGTCTGACTTAACACCTTATTGTGGTGAAGGGGTTTGAGGATCAAGGACCCCAGAAGATATGTTGTTTTGGGAAGTTTAGGGTCTCCCATGGAAAACTGGATTCAGGCAAAATGCATTCAATAAACACACTGGAACCAAGGGACTAAGAAACCTGGACTGGACTAGGGCCTTTAGGAGTACGGCATGGTCGATCGCCAGCCAACCAATTGATGCGTGGTCACTTGGTGGCAGGTGGTTTGTTTTTGAACACACCTGCCATAGTCTACTGTTCCACTACTGTACATGTTACAGTCACTAGAGTCTCCACACAAATATCCACCGTTTGGCCACAAATCTGTCAGCAGACAGATTCCTCTGTACACAACACCTGTGCTAGCTCCATCCATGAGATTTTGACCATTTGACTATTTATAAAGGTGTCTGGAAGAGTCATATAGATGGACTTACTTTCTGACAGCCTTGAACAACCGCTCCTCAAAACTATCCATGTTGTTTGCATGCACAACTACCAACTTCTGATCAATCACACAAGACCTTTTATATGCTGGTGAAAATTCGGGCCTGGGTCTTGTGCCAAGAACGAGTGGGTGACACAAGGCTGAGAACAAAATGACATGATTTTTATCATGCAACTATGGCATTGAGAGTGAATTTTACAGGTTCAGATGCAAAATGCCAAGGTATTTACCCTCCAATTCGGTCCAAACAGAATGAGCTACATGGAACAACTCTCTTGTGGACTTGTTCTCAGGATTGTGGTACAACCAGAAAAAGAGTATTGGTTACGGGTACTTGGACTTTTCTTGTATTAATACATGAGAGATACTGTTAGTAGTACAACATGTGAGTTTACATGCTTCACAAATGTTTTTAAACATTGAGACTTTACCCCATCTTTCGTTCACCCTCATGTAAATCCAAATATACTCACTCTTGCGCAGGATTCTAAAATCATCTGAGTCCAGTATTTGTTCATCCTCTCTGTACCACATGACCTGCAGAGGAGGGGTCCCCCTCAGTCTACACTCCAGGACCACCAGCTGACCCTTCACTGCTGACACATCGTGGAGGCACTGGGAGCGAGGATGATGAGAGGAGGATAGGGAGAGAAAGGAAGTCCAGACTTTATAAATGTGCTTGGTGGAAAAACACAGATGGAAGTTTTTTCTTACCTTGACAAAAGTGGGAGCCACTCCATTTCCTGAATACTGTTGATTGTAGAGAGGACTCTGAGTCTGGGCAGAAACACAGTTTTTAATTAGACTATCTTACAGTTTTATCTGCACGAGGGCTGCTGCACCTATTGCAAACAAATAATTACCCTCTGAGGGCTGACACACAGGGGCTGCACCAAGCTGGACTGGAGCGTGGAGGAAGAGGAGGAGCTGGAGGAGCGCTCTCGAGAGGAGGTGGCAGAGGAGGTGATGGTCAGAGACATGGTGCTGGTCTTCTTCTGCATCCTCTGGACCCTGCATGTTGGGACATTGTGACATGATCACAGCTGCTGATGCGTTCAGTTCTCTGTTTGTGTTGGACTTACTGAGCCATGTTTCAGGCGCTGTCTCAGGTGGCGACACAGTCCTGCAGACAGACAGGAAGTCAGGAAGTCCTCACAGTGACAGCAGTCAGACGTTATAAATTTCATGTTATTTTCAGGCCGTTAAAAATTCATTTGAACCGTTCTTTTTCTAGAAGGGGATCATTACATAACATAAGTTTGGATTTATTGTTGTTTTTTCTAATATATACAGAATTATACAAATAGACTTAAATATACACACACCTACTAATATTTGGTTAATGTCCGTTGGTAATCTGCATCTCAACAATAGGATTTTAGTATCCATCAACAAATGTGTTGGTTTCCTGACACAAATCTGMCTTCTAATCACAATCTACAAATTCTCAACAGGGCTGAGGTCAGGGTTTTGGGAAGACCAGTCTAGAAGCCTAAAGCTAGCCACATTTATTTAATCAGAAACCAATTCTGATGCGTATTTTGGATCCGTGTCCTGCTGGAACCCCAAAAACATGTCCACGTTTCAACAGTCTAGTTGTAAATTTGAGGCAAAGTTGAAGAATTTGGAGGTAGATCTTCCATTTATGCAATGTACCAGCACCACAGCATGATGCTACCACCACCATGCTCGARAGTTGATTCACTCTTCTCAGSTTTAAAAGCCTCACCATGACTCCTKAACGAACACATTTTCATGTTGGACTCGTAACATATAGACGTGCGGCAAAGACCAGAGGGAGAGCTCACATTAGTCCTGTTCTAAAGCCTTTATACTCCCTGCCTGTTTGTTTTAAAGCTGGTTTAGTTTTAGTTTACTTGTTTCCACGGCCCTTCATAGCGAGCACCAGAGAATGGCAGAGAGATGGTTTTAGTTTATGAAACAGGGTGACCCCTCAGATCTTCTTTTAYCCACAGAGTAGAACAAGAACTTTCAGTTATTCAGCTTTTAGCACCAATCTGACAGTCCAAACTGGATGCTTTTAAACGTAGATTTAAAACCTGTTTTTACATAGTTTTCAATTTTGTTTATTTTTCTGTTTGAAATGCATTTGTTTCGCATGAAATGTGCCATAGAAACAAAGCTTGATTGATTGATTGAGGGTTTTATTGATTGATTGATTGATTGATTGATTGATTGATTGATTGATTGATTGATTGATTGATTGATTGATTGATTGAGGGTTTGATTGAGGGTTTTATTG